TAAAGGCATGGAATGGCTTTAAGCTCAAGGAAAAACTAAAAAGGACAAAGAAATCCTTAAAAGAGTGGAGTAGTAAATTAATTACATATGTGGGCAGTAAAATAAAGGAAGCTGAAACTATGATAGCTTCATTGGATAAGAAAGGAAAGAATAACTAGTTGTCTTGAAACGATATTGATAAGAGGAGAAACAACTTTCTTGATCTCTAGAAGAATTTAAGAATCAAGGAGAGTATGTGCAACAAAAGTTAAGGAAGGTGTGGTTGAAAGAAGGTGATGCAAATACAAAATTATTTCATAGATGTGTGAAGAGAAGATAGAGAAGAAATGAAATTAATTATATTCGAATAAGTGGTGAACAGCACATAGGTGTGGCGGAAATAAAAGAAGAGGTTGCTAAGTACTTCCAAGGATTGTTTACCAAAGAGAAATGGTAGAGAGCAAAGCTAGAAGGGATTAGCTTCAAACAAATATCACAAGCAGATAATGAGCTCCTCATGACTACATTTTCGGCAAGAGGAAATTAAAGAAGCAATTTGGGATTGCAACTCTTCCAAATCTCCAGGCTCGGACAAATTTAACTTCAGATTCATAAAGGCAATATGGGAAAACATAAAATCTGATGTAGTTGATCGTATAGTAGTTTCAGAAACATGGTAGGCTCATTAGAGGGTCAAATGCTTCTTTCATTGTTCTAATCCCAAAGATAGAAAACCCCCCAAAGAATTGAAGAATACAAATCCATCTCACTAATAAAAGTCATGTACAAGATCATTGCAAAATTGTTAGCAAACCAGTTGTGAAAGGTGTTACCCAAGGTAATCGAGGAGCAGCAAATGGCATTTATTAAGGGTAGACAACTAGTGGATGGAGTTGTGATTGCAAATGCAATTATTGATGAGGCCAAAAGGAAGAAGAAGAAATGTTCTCTCTTCAAAGTCAATTTCGAAAAAGCATATGACAAGGTGTGCTAGGATTTTATTGATTATATGCTAATGAGGATGGGATTTAATGTAATCTAGAGAAAATGGATATAGGAGTGCCTAAGATCAAGCTCGGTTTCTATTCTCATTAATGGAAGCCCAACAAAACAATTCCCAATTAGCAAAGGCATACGACAAGGTGACCCATTATCCCCTTTCTTATTCTTGATTGTGGCAAAAGGGCTAAATGGTTTAGTGTCCTCTACAGTGGAGAAAGAATTGTATAAGGGAGTGATGATAAGTAGTGTAGGTGTTATGGTTTCACACTTGCAATTTGCAGATGATACTGTATTCTTTAGTAAGGCATTGGATGACAACATTTGGGCGGTTAAAGGTATTATGAGGACTTTTGAGCTAGTTTTAATACTAAAGATTAATTTCAGAAGAGCCAATTAATGGGGATGGGGATAGAGAAAAGCTGGAAAGCTAAGATGGCATACAAATTGTGTTGTAAAGAAAGGGAGTTTCCATTTAAATATCTAGCAATTCCTATTAGCGAGAATCACAGAAAGATAGCAATGTGGCAACCAATGGTGGAATCCTTTAAAAAGAAGCTAGCTAGCTAGAAGGGTTGACACCTTTCTCTGGGAGGTTGTATCACGCTCATCAATTTAGTGTTGTCTAGTCTACCATGTTCTTGATGTTAGTCTACTTAATCCCAAAAGGTATACTCCATTCCATTGATAAAATTTGTAAAAGCTTTTTATGGGGTAGGGGGGAGAAGAGAGAAAAATAAATTGGGTAAGTTGGGAAAAGGTTTGTAAAAAAAAGAGGAAAAAGGGTTGGGAGTGAGAGAATTGAGGAAGTTTAACTTGGCTTTGATGGGAAAATGGTGGCGATGGCTAGCAGAAAATGCAAAGGGATTATGGAAGAAAGTAATTGTTGAAAAATATGGTAAGGGAAGGGGCCATTGGCTAGATTGGATTAAAGAAAACAGAGAAGAAAGTTTAATATGGTAGAAGGATGTGTGCTGTCTCAATACAATGGATGGGGGAGAGTGTAGGGTGGCTGACAGAGGGATCTAGGATTAAGACAAGGGAAGGAAATAGTGTTAGTTTTTGGTGGGATAATTGGGGTGGGGAAGGATGTCTTGCTAATAAGTTTCCTAGATTGTATCTCTTATCAACAAAAAAAAAAAGAGAATATGTGTTACCAAATGGGCAACACTAGGAATAGATCATGGGAGTGGAATCTAGTATGGAGGAGAAATTTGTTCAATTGGGAAGTTGACAAGGTCGCAGAACTCCAAAATATGATAGAGGACATGAAGATCTCCTAAGGATGCCCATTACTCAACTAAAACAGCTTATTTGCTTTTAACAAAAGAGCAGAGGGGATCAAATGGAACTACAACCTTCAAAAGAATATGGAATCCCATTTTTCTAAGCAAAATATCAGCATTCAACTGGCAACTATTGTTAGATAGAATACCAAGGTGAACTTGTTGAGAAGAGGGATTGTCAAAGACATGGGAGAAAGTAAGTGCGCTATCTGTGATGAAGAAGAAGAGGATTCTATGCATCTATTTTTAAATTGCAAGATTGTTTAGTGGTTGTGGTAGGCTTGCGCTAAATGGTGGGGGGCCAAGGTAACGCTAGATAAGGATTGTTGAAAGACTTTGGAAAATTTTGGGGCATGGACTAAAGAGTCACGCATCAGAGAAGATTGGGATTGCATTTGGAATACTATTGTTTGGTCTGTGTGGCTTGCTCGAAATCAGAAGATATTCCATGACAAAGAGATAAATTCGAGGAAGCTGTTTGAACTTATCCAACTGAGATCCTTTTTATGGATTAAAGCAAGAAAAGACATGTATGCCTTTAATCTATCAGACTGGCTAATTAACCATGTTGCATTTCTAAAAGATAACTATGGAGGAAGGGAGGATACCAAAGGATTGGTCTGAACGACATGATTGATTTTGAATGGCTTTTGAATAGTGTAAAATGAGTTGAGTACCCCTTGTACTTATTTTATAAATAAAAGTATGATTTTTTGTTCAAAAAAAAAAAATTCAAGAGCATTACTAATATTCAATTTTCATGACAATTAACTCTTCAGGTGCAGGGATATTTGGCCATCTCAAAAGTCATGTATGGCTGAAAAATTAGTTTCGGACAAAAATTTTGTTCTGTACTAGAAGATATGTAGCCCTACCATAGAACCAGAATGTAGTCAAGTTGGGAGTCGTTCTTCGGAATACCGATAGCAGGGTTTTTAGGATCTGTACAGAAGACTTGCAGTTTCCGGAAGTCAATTCTCCAGGCAGAGACCATGGCACTTGATTTTGCACTGCAGATGGGTAAAGAGTTTCGTTTCAAGAAGGTTGAGATTAAGTCCGAATGTTTACAGGGTGTCGCTATAGCCAATTCTGAAGAGGATTGTTACATTCCATTTGGCCCTATTGTTGATGATCTTTGGGCCAAGATATCCTGTTTTGATTCTCTTCGTATATTACGTGTAAAAAGGGAATGCCACTCGGTAGTTTATGACTTGGTACGGTTTTTTTTTTTTTTCACTTCAAAAAGTTGGTTTTATTGCTTGGAAATATAAAGAGTATTAACCCATTACATCTATATTAATTGTTTGGTGAGAAAATCACGGTTCATATATGATCACATCAACTATTAAGTGATTATTATATTTTTATAACATTAAGTAGTTATTATATTTTTTTATATTAATTTATCATAAAAAAATTTATATTAAAAATTATATTAGTTTAATAAATAGAATTTATTTATTAAAAAATTATTAAAATTTTGTTTTTTCTTTATTTAAAAAAATATATAATTTTTTCTTTATTAAAAATAAAACTAAGTGTATGATTACATTATTATAATTTATTTTATTTATTTATTTTATTATTTTTATTTTTATAAATTTAATAATTTTAATAATAAAAAATAGAAAAAAATAAACTTAATTAATTACTTTTAAACTTGTCCTAATTAGTCATTTAACATTAAACAACAATCACAAACCATTACACAATCAATTAGTTATATTAATTGTTGAAATTAATTGTTTACTATCTGCTATCTGCTTTTTATCATTTGCCACTTGCTATCGGCTAACCATCACAACTATTCGTGACCCACTATTGGCTAACCATCACTAATTACCTATTATCGCTTTTTATTAGTTACTATATGTTGAATTTTACCCATTACACCAAATAGACCTATAATAAATATCTAATAAAAAAACCAAAACATCTTTATTTCTAAAACATGAATGAGATTATTTGTTTTTTATTTGTAATATTTATTTTTTTGATACTAACCTTTCGATATTTAGAAATCATATTACATCTCAATTAATTTAAAATCGAGCCGAGTAAAACCTCACAAGAGAGAAATTTTCTTGACGCATGTTTCTCTATTTATAATATTCAAATTGAAAAGTTTATTTAAAGAAAATCAAACTTCTTCTACTCCGACTAACATATTATTAATTTTGTAATATTTTATTAAAACTATATAATTTTAAGTGTTGCTTCTAATTTTTTATAAACATGACTAATAAACAGTAATTTCTACCTATATTATTCTTAACCAAAAAAAAAAGAAATATATTTTTATAGGATAATAACTAAAATATTATATCTCTACTATACAACACACCGCAAACAGATAATAATTCTAATTTTGAGATAAACTAATCCTCTAAAGTGTAAGGCCCAAAAAAATGGAAAAACGCTCAAAAGTAAATGCTGTCATTTTGGACTAAGATGAGGGAGAAAGTCTCCAATGGAAGAAAAGAAGTGAGTGATTGTCCTTCGCCCTTGGAGTTGTTTACTGAATCTACTCTATAATTCTCAGAATATCCTTTTAAGATGTTACATCAAAATTAAGGATTCAGATTTCAAATTGACTCTTGGCAAAATGATTAAATAAAGAAAAAACTTAATTGGTCCTACGAACATTCCCTTTATTTTTTTCGTAATCAAACATCAGCCATCACATGTCAGGTGTCACACTCCTATAAATTAACGGCATATTACTCTCCACGTGTTAACCCAAATCAATAAGCCAGGTCCTCTACTGAAAATAGAGACCTCTGTTCTTCATATATAGTATATAAAACAGAACCATTCAAAAACTCCAGCTTTCGTTTTTGCCTTATCTTCAAATAAAAGAAAAAAAATTCCAGCTTTCGTAGAGACCCAGACCCTGACCTAGATATGGTAGTCCCGTTAAAATCGAGTCGCGATCAAACCATCTCCTCGCTGGCGTCGCCATTGCTGCCTCCCTCAGAAGACCCGACATGGGAGGAGGAGGAGGAGGAGACGGTGGCACCGGGATCTGACCCGGAAAAGCTCTGCATAGACGATATGCTGCAAAAGTACTGCGGCGAATTTGGGTCGTGGCAGCTGAGACACTTCGTCTTGACGAGCTTGGCGTGGGCGCTGGAGGCGTTCCATACCATGGTTATGATCTTCGCCGACCGGGAACCTGATTGGCGGTGCGTGAATAGGCCGGGTTCTGGGTGTGACCAGAGTGCAAAGACCGTGTGCGGGCTCCAACGGGGTTCATGGGAGTGGATTGGTGGTCCGGGTACCTCCACGGTGGCGCAGTGGGGATTAGTCTGTGGAGAGAAATACAAGATTGGGCTGGTTCAGGCCTTGTTTTTTGGTGGCTGTATGATTGGTAAGTCCACTGAAGCCTTCTGGTTACCTTATCTTACCTGATGTTATCATTTTTTCTCAAAATATATATATACACATACATATACAGAGCTTCATGGTTTTTTACAATTTAAACAGTATTAGATTATAAAATGAAAATTTTTAAATTGAAAGGGATTCGGAATTAAAAATCTCATTTCTCATTTAAAAGTTATTATTTTATAATAAAAAACACTATAAAATAATTTTTTAATATTATAATTAATTTCAGAAGCAAGTGGATGACATAGTTTTATTTATAGAGATGGATATGTAGTCCTCTGGAGTTTTATTTTTTGATTTGTTTGCTACTGCTACATGCAGAGATTCAAGAAACTTTCAAATGTCTGTCTATTTTGTCATATATAAAAGCCAAGCTGATACACACAATCTTACAATAATCACATTGTTTGCAATTTGATTCATTTGTCAGTGACGCATTTGATTTAGAACATAAGATACATTACTAAAAACGGAATCCTAACGCACTCCAAGTACTAAGAAAAATAAATGCACAATAGCGGCAGCAAAATTAGACCACGTAGGCTTCTTCAGGCTTTAGTTTAACTTAGCCTTTGATGATGGGTTCTGGTAATTATCGTCATGAAAAAATATTGAAAATATTAGTTTTTTTAGTTTTTTTCTTAAAGTATATGAAAATTTTAATTATTGACTGATTTTAATTTATTAATTAATAAATATTAATTATTTTATTAGTTATTAATTAATCATTATAATTGTTAGTTATTTTTATTAGTTATAATTATTAGTTATAAATTTATAATTTCAGTAGTAGCCTTTAACATCTTGATTAGTGACCATAACCCTGCCCTGGATAAAGAGATCAGAGCTCAACTCGGGAAGTTTTAAAGTGTTTTTTTCTTTGAAATGGGTTGTTAAGAAATTACTAGTTTATGGTAATGGTCCTAGTAAAACAAGCTGTCTGCACATCCCAAAAAAGAATACCATTTTTTGCACATTGGAGGGAAGGTATAACAAACACGTTTCTTGGGAGGCTAGTGATGTTGATCATTTGCTTGAGTAAAGAAAGAAAAAGCAGATGCTTTAGCAGAAAAGGAGGAGATATTATATGGGGAAGATTTCTTTCTCTATACTAGTTGTTGCCTAGTGTGACCTGTTTTCGTTTTAATCTTTGTTGTGTATTCGAGACTAGATATTAAAAAGAGTTGTGGATATAAACAGTTACAAAAACAGAACAACATCATATTGTGAGTTAAAGGTGTTCTTGTCGTGACCTAGGACTATTTGGACTAGTGGTGGAAGATAAACAGCAGCATATACCAATCTTTAGGACTAGTTGCCATGTGAAGGAATTGGATGTAGGTTTTTGTGGGTGACAAACAAGCATGTGTGCTTAGGGATTTCACTTAGAAAAACAGAGTAGGCCCAGTTCTTTTCTTTGGTTCCTATCCTTGGGTTTTTTTTTTCCTTTTGCAGTTATCCTAGGAGTAGAAACTAATAAAATTAAAAGACCTTTTTCCTTGATCTTTCTTAAAGGCAAAGCCATGAAGAAAAGGGCAAAATATATTACGATATGAAAATGATCTTATACTGTGCTTTCAGACCCCATAGTGCATGGCATGTTCTACATCCTCTCCAACTGACCTTGAACATGTGAGACTTTGTTTTTCCTTATCAATCCCCCTTGTTGTGTAATCTACTTCTCTATGAACTCTCTACTTCCTTTCCTCTTAAAAGAACTAATACCTCCATGTAGTTTATACCATTTTTTCTGTTTTACTTTCATTACCAAGACATCGAGATAATGAGTGCTCCATCACTTAGGACTTATTTAGTCATAATTGTTAAAGCATGCCCACTAGCTTGGGTATTAAATATTTTTTGTTCAGGTTATGACAAGCAGGCTATAACTTTAGGTGAAGGCAACTTCCTTTGGTCTTGTTTTCAGTTGAAAAGGTTATGGCCCTTCAGGGTTCAAAGCTCCTGTTAATTAAAGTGCCTGCAGTGCTGGTATGTGATGTAGATTTCGGTTTTGCCTAACTGGAGTCATCTATCATAGAGCTGTTTAAGTTGAAGTTTTTTCTAGAGAGGTGGTGTATCCTCAACTGCAAGACGAATACTTATGAATTGGCCTATGTATGACTTGCAAAAATTAGTATCATTTTTTGTAAGGTTAATCAAGATCATCACTAATATGCAATTTTCATGACAATTAACTCTTCAGGTGCAGGGATATTTGGCCATCTCTCAGACTCAAAATTAGGAAGAAGGGGCTCTTTGAGATTGGTTTGCATCTTAAATACCATCTTTGGATGTCTAACAGCATTTGCCCCTGACTACTTCACTTATCTCCTACTTCGCCTGCTGACCGGCTTCAGCACAGGCGGTGTTGGCCTTTGCGCCTTTGTACTTGCTACTGAACCTGTAGGCCCAACGAAGCGTGGTGCTGCTGGAATGTCCACATTCTACTTTTTCTCAACAGGAATAGCTCTGCTTTCAGGCATTGCTTACATTTTTGGTTCGTGGCGTGGTCTTTACATTGCCTCCTCCATTCCATCTTTCCTCTTCCTTGTTCTTGTCATTCCTTTCATCTCTGAATCCCCACGATGGTATCTCGTTCGTGGGAAAATGGACAGTGCCATGAAACTCATGCGTACCATTGCCAAGTCCAACGGGCGCCACCTTCCCAATGGGGTTATTCTTGCCCTGGACGAGGAGGCAAATAAGACTTCCGATGGTAATGAAACTTGCAAGGTAGAAACAGTGACAAAAGAAGCAATAGCAGGTTCTATCATTGATGTACTTCGCTCTCCAATCACCCGAATTCGTTTGTTTTTAGCAGCGGCAATAAACTTCTTGTGCTCTGTTGTTTACTATGGTCTTAGTTTGAATGTTGTCAACCTCGAAACAAACCTCTACCTTAATGTTCTCCTCAATGCAGTAGCTGAAATTCCGGCCTTCACCATCACAGCAGTTTTGTTGGATAAGTTTGGGAGGAAACCCTTGGCAGTTGGGACACTATTTTTCAGTGGAATCTTTTGTTTTGTGGGATGCTTTGTGGGGAATGTAGGAATATGGAAGGTGGTAAGGATGATTTGTGGGATACTGGGGATATTTGGCATGGCTGGAACATATAACTTGCTCTTTATCTACACAACAGAGCTGTTTCCCACCGTGGTGAGAAACGCAGCTTTGGGATGTGCAACTCAAGCAGCACAAATGGGAGCAATATTAGCACCTTTTGTTGTGGTTATGGGCGGTGCCCTTCCGTTTGCAGTGTTTGGGGTGTGTGGCATTACCGGAGGGATACTCGCATATTATTTACCAGAGACATTAAACCGGCCATTATATGACACAATGACAGGTATGGAAGAAGGGGAGAGTGTAGGAATTGCTGTATTGAAGTAATGTTGCAAACTGTCTTCCCTTTTTCCCATTTCCTTCTCTTCATGTTGCTGTAAGGTTTTCTTAATTGGAGTCTCTGGCCTTCTTTTTATATCTTAGACTTATCATAATTTTGTTCTACGAAATAAAAGAGATAATGCTTGGTATGCTTTTTGATGTTTAGGATTGAGAATTGACATGAACGATATATGTCTATTTCAATCAACATAAAAGAAAATTGACATAAATGACCTATTTTTAACAATACAATATAGTTTTGACAACGATTCTGCACATCATATATTTCAAACTTTCTTATAAGCAAAACAAATAAATTTGATAAACAAGGAATTCAATCTCTCCCAGGGTATTATTATTCAATATGTACATAAAACGACGTTATTTACACTCTTGAAGCATTAGAACATGAAGGGCGCTGGTGAGAATGCTGGGATAATTGTTTGCAGAGAATTTCGCCTGAAAAATAAATCGAAAGAATTCTTAGTTTTATCTCAAAATATAATTTTACCCAAAAGCAGTATGTTAAGGCAAATCTCAGTTTGGGTCCTTAAATATTTGTAATGATTTCAACTTGGTCTCTAACATTTCTTTTTTCTTTTTTCCCTCAAGTGATGACTTGTAAATATAGGGTGCGTTTGGAATTGCTGTGAAATGTTGTGACTGTATCTATAGTTGTTGCCATGATTGTGTTGTAACTGTGACTAAAGTTATTTTGATATTTAGTTATTTATTTCTTAAAAGTATTATGGATGAAATATAATAAATTTTATTAATTATTAATTACAATTTAAAAAATATTGTAAGACATATAATTATTAAAATAGATAATATTTATTTTTTTTAATAATTTAGATTTTTTAAATTTGTTATTATTATTAAAATATTATAAATTATGATGTAATTAAATTATACGAAATTAGATTTTAATAGATAATTTTGTAATTATATTAAATATTAGTTGTTCTCTATAAAAGTCACAAAAGCTCCAAAATAAAAGTTTCTGACTTTATATATATAATTACTGTAAATCTACTATATTTTTTTATAGCTTTTAGAAAAAACAGTTTAAAAAAATATTATCAAATATATATATATCTAAAAGTATTGTACGATTACACAAAAAACCTCTCAACCATAATTCTAAAGGCAAAATACCCAAATCCACCCTAAAGTATAGTGGCAGGGACGAATCCACCTCTGAACAAAAAATATGGACAAATCCACCCACAAAGTTTTCGACTTGGATAAATCACTCCAAATTTAACGTGTAACATCATTTAACATCAGCAATCCGTTAATTCGTTAATGGATTGGTAATGTCAGATAAAGTCAAATTAACATATTGTTGATGTTAAATGACGTCACACGTTAAATTCGGGGTGATTTGTTTAAGTCGAAAATTTTGTAGGTGGATTTGTCCCCATTTTTTTGTTTTAGAGTGGATCTATCCCTACCACTATACTTTGGGGATGGATTTAGGTATTCTACCTAATCCCAAACACCCCGTAATCAACCTAAAGTAATCTCTGTCATGTAAGCATTTGTTTAAACCTTTCACAAAATTCCAAAAAAAAAAAAAAAAAGAAAGAAAAGAAATCTAACAATTTTTGTAAGCACTGAAATGGAGTAAACAGTGAGAACACCTCATCGGTAAGTCTATAAAACAAGGAACTTGCAAGTTGTAGCGTAATTGACTCAATCGCCCAATGGACAAGGCGCTGGTCTACGGAGCTAAAGATTAACTAATCAACAATTTAAGGTTCATCTATTTAGAGAGTCACCTCCTTTATCTTGTCTAAATATAAATGAGAGGGGTTGACTTGTATGCATCATCCAATAATAACTAAAGAACATGGTGTTTCATGATGCCTGACTGCTCTTTGTTTTTTTATTTTTTCACGTAGCATTTCTCTTACGGTTTTAGCAAATTTATTTAGATACAAGGTCTACATACTAACACATGCCTAAGCTAAGGGATGTCTGGCCATTGAGAATCTCATAAATTTTTACCTTATCAAATGACCATCTCGTAATTTTTTAGTTAAAACAAGGTTAAATAC